AGGCACTTTCGCGGGCGGAGCTGCTCACTTCCAGGCGCTGCTGTTACACAACACGCCTGCCGAGCAGGGCCCCGGCCTGACTGCGCCCATTATCCCCGAGTCGCCTTTGGCGCGGGCGGCGAGGCCACCCGGGTGGCGACCGTGCTGCCTTTGAACCCCCCACCTTTGCCCCCAAATAAAGTCAACTTTCACACTGGGTCTGGTGTTGGGGTCCGGTGCGCCAGGGACTCTTTCCACTGGCCGTGAAACGTGAAAATAAAATCCAGAGAGACAACGGAGGGTCTGCGTATCCTGTGTCATTTCATGACATAAAATACCGCAGAAGAACATGTATCTACTCAAAACCTAAGTTTTGTGATGCTGGGTTGAACTTCCTAAAGACAACCGGGAATGAAGGTGAGAAAATCTAAAGCAGATCTTGCAATGAATGGATACTGCACAATCGCGAAGTAGTTTGCTAAACGCCTGCCGCAGAGATCCTTGGCGCGTTGAGGTCCCGGGTGTTTGGATTGTGTGGAGGAAGCGCACCCCTAGCCAGCCTGTGATGAAAAAGGTAGAGAGGAAAAACCTGTTGCATAATCTCATTCGCTCTGGGATTTGCAGTGCTGTCCCCTTGAACCAAGGGGAAGTGAGTTAAGATGCAGGGTTTAAAAACCTCTCTGAAGTTTTTATTTACTCAGCGCCCTGGCTGCCACTTTGCTTTAAGAGATTATAAGTAAATACTGTGCTCTTACAAGTGAACCAAACCGATCAAACCTGTTTAGAAAATGACCAGGTATGTTTCTTTCTTGTATGTCTTTACGCGCGCGCGCGCGCGTGTGGGGAGGGGAGAAAATACATGAGTGTGAAATCTACCGGTGGAAAAGGGCTCTGACTACCATTAGGGGGAACCGAGACTGTCAGAAAAATACCTCTTTTATCCCACTCCTGGGTGATGGATAGTACCTGTTTCCTCAAAGGAGTTTTGCTATTTAATCTCCATCAAGAGAAAGCGATTTCTTAAAATTTGAGCAAAAATTTAAAAGAATGAATACCAATGGAGTTAATTACGTTTTAATTATTTACTTTGCCTTGGTGGACACAGTTTGGGAGGCATTGCTAAATTAAGGTTCTGCAGTTGTGTGGTTGGTGAAGGCAGCAGCCTGGAGAGGTAAATTGAAAAACTAAGAATTTATGGCTTTGTGTGAGTATTTTAGTCAAAATGTGACAAGGGTACTGTGAGAGGTTTTGTCATTGTTTTTAAAAGAAAGTTTACAGAACTTAGCTGACTTTAAACACAGTGTGGGAAGGTTGCAATTGAACAAAAACTTTTGGGGTCAACACTTGGCATCTTATATAAAGATTTGGACAAAATAACACCAGCTCAAATTGGGTTTCAGATAAAATAATTTGTACTTATCAAAATTCCACATGTGTGAAGAAAATTAGAAATGTGTTTATTTTGAATTGTAATATGGTGGATTAGTTCAAGCACTGTATACCTACACTTAAGTGTTTTTAAAAAAATGTAAACTGGCAATGATATTTAAATTTTTTTATTTTTAAATTTAGTATGTCAGCAACTCAGAGTAAAATATCTAATTTGGCTTAAATTGTACTTATTTTACTTGAGTTTTTCAGTGCATAATTATGAAGGAGGGTGAGGAACAGAACTGCAGAATCATGACTTTTGCCCCTCAGTTTAGAAAGTTCCTGTCCTTTACTTCAGCTTGTTAAATGTAATTGAGTACCTGTAAAATAAAAACGGTCAATATGAAATTGAGGATTCTGGTGTGTGTGGGAGGGTGTTGGTCAAAATGTTAGTGGCAATAACTGAGAAGGGGTAAGAGAGATCCTGTTAAATCACCCCCCCCACACAATCAAAATTTAGTTATTTGCATGGTTGGAAGTGAAGGGGACTGTGGAGGGCTTAAAGTAGGTCTGGGTTCAGCCCCCAGCCTGCCCCCTTACAGAAAAGTATTAGTGTAGTTTGAAGAAGAGTCGGAGCTGGAGTTGGGAGAGGCAGGACTGATGTGAGTTTATTTTGATGCTATTTTAAGTGCTTTTATTGAGGAAATTAATTTCATAGGATTTTCAGCATATGGGATTAATATGTTGGTGAAGCAGATTTATACAGCTGCTCAGTAAAGTTGTTCCTTTTCAGCAAATTACAAAATCCTGCTGAATATAAGTTGCTAAAATTATATGTGTCATTTATTCTAGAACTACCAGATTTCCCAGAGTATCTGACTAAAACAGCATTCTGTTGTGTATTACCTGGACTAAAAATTTTACTGTTTTTAAAATGCTTTGAGTTCTCAAGCAAAAAGTATTTTAGCTTAAAGAAGTAAATTAATATTAAATTCATTTGGATCTGAATCCTAAGAAAAAGAGGAGCTACATTAGGAAAAACAGAAAACAG